ATAGGCCTGTTAGTATTATATAACTTATTATATAAAGAGTGTGAAACTGTGCGAGAAATTGTACTTTGGACTTTAGCATCATAACAGGTAAAGACGGTATACGCAGCGCCGCCGTAAACGAAGACAAACCGGATTGCGAACACAAACGCTTGCACATCATCCCATCGTATATATATACCTCCGTACAAACATATCGCGTAGTAGGTAGCTCATCACATATTAATACGTAATTATAAAAACGATTATAATTATTTAATCAACCATGGGGGTATACGAAGAGGCGAAATTACGTATAGCTAGTCTGCAGTGTAAGGTACAACGCGTACATGATGCGGGGGGTGGCATTGAAGCAGATCCGACCAACAAAACGGCGAAAACCAAGTTTAAAATAATGTATGCGACACTTGAAAGTGTAGCGAATGATTTCGAAACACAGTTAACGATCATTATAAAACATCAATGCAAAGGGCCACCCTCGTCGGACGCAGTTATCGAGGAAAAACTGCGTATGGAATTCGAGGAGAAATATGTGGGGTGTAAAATCTTCGCTGATGAATACTTACCTGAAGCCATGACTGATGCGTCACTTAATAAAACATTTATTGAAACAAAAACCCATGTTAATCCTAATAAGTATTATCCAATCGAAAAATTATCCATACCCAAGTTCGGTGGTGACCCAAAAGAATATATTAGTTTTCGGAACATGTTTGACAAAACAGTAGGGGAAGCAGATATATCGGCGATTTTTAAATTTAGTCACTTAAAATCGTATTTAGTTGGAGAGCCTCTGAGCTTGATAGGGAATTTAATGCTGACCGATAGCAATTATGATCTAGCCTTATCACTGTTAACTGCACGGATCAATCGTCGGGTCATAGCCGGAAACCATATCGAAGAGTTGTATAATGCTCCGAAAGCATTTATTAGCGATGGAAGTTCTATCAGAAAACTATTGAATATTATTGTCGAGTCAATCGGTGCGTTATCCAATCTATCATACGCAGTGGACCAATGGGACCCGATTATTTTACATTTACTTCAAAAAAAACTCGACCAACCACTTCGATCCCAATGGGAATTATTGGTGGATACAACGGAAGATCCCACCGTGACAGAGTTCACTACTTTTTTGACTAAGTATTGCAGATCTGCAACCGTTTGTCAAGAAATCACCAAACCGGTAACCAAAGTTTACAAACCAGGAAAAACGACCACCCTGTTCAGTAATCATCATGCAGGAAAAGCCACGCCAGAACAATTAGAGAAAAAGACATTTACCTGCCAAGTGTGCAAAAGTCACCAGACATTTGCTCATACATTGTCCACTGTTCAAGGAAGAAAACGCCGACCGAACGCCATCAAATTATTAAGGATTTGGGGCGATGTTTTAATTGTTTTAGTGCGCACATGGCTAGTGAATGTAAAAATCCAAGGAAATGTGCTGAATGTGGTAAAAAACACCATTCCTTAGTACATCTTCCTAACGCGGTAGAAACAGTCACTTCTGCACATATTACTGTCGCGGCATCTGAGACAAAAGGTCTTCGTACGTCTGTTCTGTTGGCGACCGCTGCAGTAATTATGCAAGTGAGAATGGAGAGACCATCAAGGTGAGAGCTCTGCTAGACAGTGCAAGTCAAAGCAGTTTCATCACTGAACGATGCGTAAAGTGTCTAGGTTTAACTCGAGGAAAGTGTGACATTACAGTGCAGGCTCTATCTGGTACCCAAGTTCCAATGGTGAGAGGACGCGCTAACGTGAACGTGCATCCGGTTGATTGTGACAGCCCACACTTTAACGTTGATGTTCTCATCTTACAACGTATCACTGGTTCTGTTCCATCGGAACGTATGTGGGAAAAAGCGTGGCCTCATACAGGTGGTTTGAAGTTAGCCGACCCGGAGTACGCTCAAGCACTACCGATCGATTTGTTGCTGGGTGCAGATGTTTTTCCATACCTCATATTGGGAGATAAAAAAGAGGGTGACGTTGGTCAGCCGATAGCCTTGTCAACCGTTTTTGGATGGGTCCTCATGGAAAAGTGTCCTACTGCGCCGAAAAGCAAAATCGTAACCGCTATGTGCGACCACCGATTCCATCGATTCGAACTCTGCAGCGGTTTTTAGACAGCGAAGATATACCAACAGCCGTTAAAAGTAACATTGGTGATGCGGAATGCGAAGAAATATATCGTTCAAGTACCACGCGTCAACCAGATGGACGATATGTTGTGCATTTACCGTTTACACAATATCCGCCATTTCTGGGGAAATCCAAAGATGTGGGTTTAAATCGCTTACGTCAGTTAGAAAACCGATTTAAGAAATCATCAGAACTTCACAGTGATTATAACAACGCCATGAAAGATTATTTGGATTCAGGTCACATGTCTAGAGTGACCGTCAATCTGGGAAAAGAGGAAAACGCCTATTATATCCCTCACCAAGCTGTCTTGAGACCGGAGAGTACCACCACGAAAATGAGAATAGTGTTTGATGCATCTGCAAAGACGACCACAGGTTGCTCACTGAACGATAAGCTTTTCTGTGGCAAAAAACTTCAACAACACTTACCAGCCATTATACTACGTTTTCGTTACACCCGGTGGTATTTACCGCGGACATAAACAAATGTTTCGTCAAGTGGTTGTCACAGAAGAACACCGACCTTACCAACGATTATTATATCGATTTTCTTTGACGTACCCGTGAAGAATTTCAAATGAACCTTTAAACGTTTGACAAAAATCGTCTCCATTCCTAGCCATTCGGACTTTACACCAATTAGTGGAGGACGAAGCGGCAAACGATAAACATGTACAAAAGGTTGTATTACACGATTTGTACGTCGACGATGTAGTCACAGGTGCCGAGACCGAAGACGCGGCGATTGAGCTTCAGAAAAAGCTAATAAACGTTTTTTCCAGGGGCAAGTTTGAATTGCGCAAGTGGTCAAGTAATTCCAATCATCTGCTACAACAAGTACCCCCAGAACACCGGCAATCCCAGCCAGTTACATTTGCTGAACATGGGTCGGAATATACAAAAGTTCTTGGACTGAACTGGGACCCAATAAACGACTCACTCAGTTACCAATACCAACCAAACCCAGTGAAATACAGTAAGCGTGATGTGTTGTCAGAGATTGCCAGGATTTACGATCCTCTTGGACTATTGTCTCCAGTTACGACGGATCTCAAAAAGCTAATGAAATACCTTTGGCTAATGGAAGTGAGCTGGGATGAACCACTACCCGAAGATGCAGCAGCTGCATGGCTAAAATATCACCAAGAGTTACCGGTGCTAACGACCTTACGAATTAACCGGCACGTCACCCATCCTTACGCCACATACGAACTTCATGGGTTTAGTGACAGTTCGGAAGCAGCTTATGCTGCTGCGGTGTATTTACGCGTAACAATGGAGAACGAAGAATCGTATTGTCACCTCTTAATGGGCAAATCAAGGATAGCACCGGCGGCAAAAGTATCCATACCGCGATTGGAGTTATGCGGTGCTGGGCTCCTAGCACGATTGTTGTCTTTCATGCAAGCGAATATGACACTCAAGTTTGTAAGCTTAAGCGGCATGGACCGACTCTACCATAACCTTAGCTTGGATAAAGTCACCCCACGGGCTAACTAAAGACATTTGTTGCTAACCGAGTAGCAAAAGATCCAACAGGTTGACTGACGTGAATATATGGGCGCCATGTACCATCCGATCTGAACCCAGCGGATTTTGCGTCACGTGGATTGGTCTCCCCTAGGGAGCTATCTGACCCTGCACTGTGGTGGAAAGTCCCAGAATTCCTTCGAAACCGACAGATACCTGGCCGGACGAAGGAGTAATGACTCCCGAAGCACGGCAAGATGAAGAAGGAGAGGAAAAAACAAATTACTCTGATCACGCTGGTCAAAGCTGAGGAGTGCCCGATACTAAATCAGTCGAAATTTTTTCCCAAACTATTAAGACTTACGCATATTGGTTACGATTAAAAGATCATTTTTACATAAACCAAGTTCCACAACCCTATACAACCACAGAAGGAAATTAACAGAGCATTGTTAGCCCAGGTGCGCTGGACTCACAAAACATTCTTTGGAGAAGAGATACACCACCTGAAGAACAATAAAACATGCTCCGTCCGACTCCGAAAGTTGTCCCCATTTCTGGACGGTCAAAATTTAATCCGGGTGGGAGGTCGTCTAGTCCATGCGAACATTCCATACGCAGAAAAACAACCCCCTGTACTACCAAAATCCGCACGTTTGACCATGCTGTTAATTGATCACGCGCATCGTACCAATGGTCACCCGGGACCCCCAAAACGTGCTAAATATTTTATGTCAAGAATACTGGATAATGTCAGCTCGCAGTATCGTCAAGAGCAGATTACATAAATGTATACCGTGCTTTCGTGCCAAACCACGGATTATACAGCCACTTATGGGAAATTACCGAGACATCGAGTAAACTAAGTTAAGCCTTTGGCAAGTCTGTGTGGATTTTGCAGGGCCGTTCGAAGTAAAAGCTGCGAATGTTGGCGGAAATTAGGTTACTAAAGGCCTACATCTGTATTTCGTTGCTGGTAAACAACCGCCGTCCACATCGAGTTAGTGTCCGACCTGTCTACCCCTATGTTTATTGCCGCTTTCAACCGATTCGTGTGCAGAAGGGGTAAATGTACAGATATATTCAGTGACTGTGGCACTAATTTTGTCGGAGCCCAGCGATATTTGAAACAAATCTATGATATGACCCGAGAGACGAGATTCATTCATAACATAAGTCACCATCAAATCCAATGGCATTTTAACCCGCCTGCTGCCCCTCATATGGGAGGTTATATGGAGGCAGCGGTGAAATCCGCCAAAACCTTGCTGCAACCGAATCATATCTGATCGTGTTCTCACCTATGAGGGGTTGAACACTGTCCTTCATCAGGTAGAGGCAACGCTCAACCCAGGCCTTTAGGTGCCATGTCATCTGACCCAAGTGACTTCAAGACTCTCACCGCTGGACATTTTCTTACCATGGGACCACTCGTCACCTTGCCATCGCCTGAAGAACTGACTAACCCTACGGCCTCCATAAGCCCTCGAAACCGTTGGTCACTTATTCAGCAGATTCATCAACACTTCTGGTTACGTTGGAACAAAGAATACCTCCATACCCTGCAAGAGCGACCGAAATGGGCTCATCAAAATGTAAACTTGCAAGAGAATGATTTGGTTATTGTTAGAGAACCTTCCCCCCCACTAACTTGGATTACAGCACGAGTAGTCGAAGTGCACCCTGGCACAGATGGAGTCGTCAGAGTAGCAAAAGTAAAAACAGCACAGGAAAAGCTCCTTACTCGACCGGTGGTCAAGCTCTGTCCATTACCTTTGAGAAATTGAAGGTTCGTCCCTTCAAGGTGGCCGGCATGTTCAAACATATCTATGCAGCTTATCACTCAGTGATAAGCTGATCGCGCACACCGCACTCATACACACACACACACACATACGAAAGCGACCGCCGATCAGTAACGACCGTACCACCAAGTCGACAGTGCGCCCGTGTGCAGTCCCTGTTAACTTAAAGTCAAGACCACCGTTATCCGTCACCCATCTACCGTCTACCGTCCACCGTTATTGTCACCGTCTACCGTCATCCGTCACCTACTCACCGTCATCCGTCACCTACTCACCGTCTACCTGTACCTGTTTACCATCAACCGTCAGCCGGGACTGCAGCCGCCGTCACGGTTTTTATGTCTATACTTTTATATACCTTATTTATTTATACTCAATTATTGTAGCGTTAGTTAATTATTCCCCTTTGCTGGCCAGCACCTTTTGTGCCACTTATACAACATTTACCTATATTTTTTTCTTGTTTAATAGTAAGCCGCAAACCGGCATTGATTTGTATCTTATCGAGTATGATTTATTGCGTAGCCTTTACCTGACCAAAAAAATACAGTCCACTTCATCCTTCGATACCAAACAATAGTGAATTTTTTTAGTGCATTATTCAAAATGTTTAGGGTATTTTTTAGGGCGATAAAATCCCAGCTATTTTTACGAAAACACTTAAATGTTAAGAGATAAATGAAAAAAACGAATTTTTGTGACCTTTGACCTTGAATAAAAAAATTAACAGCATAGGATCGATGGGGACTTTTGAGATTTATTTAGGATGAGGTACTTTAAGGTGTGTACCAATTTTCAGCTCTATGCGAATTATTCCGAAGTTAAACGTCTATTTTGACCGGACTACAGGCGTTATAATTGTGTAATTTACAAAAATAATAACTATCAACAATATTACTTATTTAACAGTTTTAGTTTATTCTGTGTTTATCAATTATCAGGTATATTCACCAAGTTGATGAGATTTAATAATATTTGATATAATAATTACCAAGTCAATCTTTATTAATATAACTAAGTACATTTTTAACAACAAAAAAGGAATTCGTTTTGATTTTATTTTATTCTAAATTTAAAAAAATTCACAAAGTTTACGTGATTTATTAATTTATTATATTAATTTATAAGTTTATACTTCTTAAAATTTAAAATGTATACTGTACATATTATTATACTGTTTAATCAAGAGGCTCCTACGGTTATAGTGGTAGGTCTCAATGACCACACCACCGAAATCAACACTATAAATTATAATAATGTACTGTACCAGGGTTAATAATTATAGGATATTGCCAGTTTATGACCACATCAATTACACTCTGAGTTATAGGGACGGATGACAAAGCACATACACTAATTTATTGCTGAATTTAATGCAAATAACAAGGACATATTATAAGTATTAAGTGGCGAAGACGTCTCCTCTTTTACCAGTCACGATAATATACATAAGAATAATAAATAATAATATACCTAATATCAGCACGTCTAGTAAATACTAAATAATGCACAGGGACCGGATTTTTATGCAAAGTATATACGTATATACGTATTGGAATAAGCTTTTTTAAATGTGATGAGAATTGTCACCGATTTAAATCATTCTTATTAAAATAACACAAATTGTATTTTGCATATTTTTCATATTTCAACGTTTTTACCTATTAAATACATATGTGTAGCTTTATAATAGTGCACATCATTATTTATAGGTAGGGCATATATAAAACATCGTAATTTCAAGTTCACAGCCATAAAATATCGATAATATTATTACGACCAGTCTTTATTGCCTAAAAAAATATGATATACTCATATGCGACATACTTATATATTATTATTTATTATGATATTAATATAGATAAATTCGTTGTTCATATAATAGAGTTCAAGTGTTCGACGGAAACCGATCAGGGCTAATATTTTATAGATTGAAGATAAAGAATGTTAAATGGCGAAGAACTTACCTGAAGATGACAAAAATATACTTTTTTATACCTTTTTTATTACTTAATTAATTAATACTTAATAAAATATGAACTTTTTTACATAATTTTAGATAAAATATTTTCGATTCAATTTTAAGTGCATATTTTAAGGACTTTTTGTACATACAAATCCGATGAATAATACCTAATGAATAATATTAGTAAAAATAATATAAACAAATATTTAAATAAGGCATAGGTCATAACTCATAAGCTATACCTAAATCTTTTACCAAGTTTAATTTAAATTATAATTTGCTATGACATTTTAAAAATATTAAGACTATAATTTAAAAATATGCATAACACACAAGTGTTTAAAATTTTGGAACTTTCTTCTATACATGTTGATACAAATTACAATTTTAATACAAGATCGGAAATACAATGATTTAAATATATCAAAAATACTTAGGTAATATGCTCAATTTTTTTTCGACATAAAATGTTTATGATATTGTAGCAAAAATAAGGACTTAAGTTATTTTTTTTAGCTATTAAAAAAATATTTTTTTCTAAGAACTTGAAACTTTTTGCTATTAAGTAGATTTTTACTTTTCACACATTTAAACAGCAGAGCGCCTTTCTAGTTTTCTATTCTGATAGTTGAGCAATGAATGTAATATTTTATAATAATATGTATTTTTTTTCCTGCCTGTAAAAATGTTTTCAAGTAAAAATAAATAATGGTGCTTTGGTTTTCCACGTCAGCATTAATTCTGACGGGAATATGTGGAAAATAAATACGGGTAAGTGGATGTTGCTCTGCTGTACAGTAGATTACAAGTGGGTAAATGTATAATGGATTGTATAAACATGAATTCAATGATATAATATCATTGTATAAGAAAACGATTCTGAGCGGAGACGGTTTATCAGTGAGGATTTTTTAAATTTTTATTATTTATTATACTCTTTAAGTTGAAATAGGCAATATTATAATTTTATAATTTTTTATTCATTGCTACGGTAATAAACAAATTGTTAGAAATTAAAGTCCCATTTTAAGCGGTTTTTCGTAATTTTTCAGTAGTTTTTTCCCGTGGAATTAAATAACTTTTGAGAAAATCCAAAAATGACCTCTTTAAAGTACCATCTTGATACAATTTGCTAAAAGATGAGGTACTATATGTTGAAATCGAAGCACTCCTCTTCTGGTAGAAATTTTTTATACAGGATATAAAAAATAAACACCATTGTAAAACCACTAGCTGCTTCCTCGCTCCGCTCAGAATCTAAAATGTACGGTAGATTTCAATAGGGCCGTTAAAAACAAAAAAAAATTATAGAAAAATTGGAATTTTACCGGATTTTACGCATCCTAACCAGTTTATTGATTTAAATAAAAACCTAATAACCATGGATACTTTTAATTTTCATCAGAAGTTTATATACTTAACCATTTTCTATGCACCATTAAATTTTTAAAATATTTTAACACATTTTGAGCCATTTATAGGCAAAAAACAATTTTGATTTTTAAATTATTGTCTCGATCATTGTCGATATAAAATTGTTCGATCAGTCAAAATAATTGAAACTTTGGTAGGTACAAGGTTCCTCATAAACTATTGTCGAGGTTATTGTTAATGAAATGTAACAAAAACACATGAGCATAAATTAACAAAAAACGTTATGAGGGTCTGAAGTTATAATTTTGACAACATTTGTCAAAAATCACAAAAACCTAACCTAACCTAACCTTGGGTGGGTCTTGAAGTTAAAAAAAAAATTATAAAGAGCACTTATATGCACCCGGCGCACAGTGGTTTAAAAATGAAAATAGTAGGCCAAAAGTCGATATTTTTAATTTGAAAATACTCAAATTAAGATTATACCAAAAACGTTTTCTATAATACCGAAGGCGTATAAATATGTAAAACGTATAGCAAACTATACCAATCAAATAATAATTTAAGTGGACAAAATATGGTTTTTTTCATAAAAACTATGATATTTTATAATAATCGTCATAACTCATAACATATAGGTAGTGTCGTATATTGTAGACAGTCGTCTAAATATTATTTCATATATGTAATAGAGGTGGGAACTTTTATTGTAAACCATTGACATAGGTCAGTGAAGCATATGTGCTGAGACAGCTATAAGATTACTATATAACACCGCCGCACGCGCAGGCACGGGAGTCCCGTTGTCGCTGAGTGAATCGGCGAGGACGTAGGTACTGTGGTCGTACGTGTGAAACGTCGATCATAGTACGGGCTAGACGATTTGAATTTGCTAAGTGTTTCATTTATGTTTGTTTTAATATAATAAAAGTGTTTCCGACCTAAAAACCCGAGTTGAGTTTTATTTCAAAGTCTTCTTCGTTCTTACCTTTAATATTGGAACAGTGCTCAGACCCACACACCTATAGTCAATGAGGTTTATTACAAACTGAACAGTGCTCTGGTTGTGGCGTCCTAATAGTCATTCCAATTTAGGAAACGAACGAAGAACTGACAAAACGCTACCATCGTACCTCAAAGGTTAACAGTGCTAATCTGAATTTATTCTAGAGACAGTCATTAGCCTAGAGCGTACGAGGGTAAGGTATAAAGTTGGTTTACCGCGTATTATCCAATACGGGTGATACCACAGAGTGGCGCCCAACGGGGTTACTTATCCACGGTCGGAGACATTTTTTTTTGATTTTTTTTGTGCCCTGGTACCTCAACCTTGGCAAGTTTAATTTTTTTGAAAGTGTTTACGTACGAGAAGTACAACAGTTTTTACGTGTAGTCTGGGAGAGATTCCCTTGACACACCTATTTTTTTTTTGTACAAGTGAAGTACGACAATTGTGCACGTTTCGGGTAGTAAACCCGGAGCCAGTTTAGTGTTTTTTTTATTTTATTTTACCGGTTAAAGTGTTAAAGTAAAATAATACTTTTTGTGTGTTTTGGGTGCAGTAGAAACCCAGAACGCAATTTTTGTGCGTGTGTATACCGAGTGAGTAACACATACGCGTTCGATTTTTGTCTGACCGACAAGACAGCAGTTTTGTGCCGCGTGGTACAATTTTTGCAACCGTGCGTCTACAAGTATACGCCAAGGTGAGCAACGTTTTGTAATATACTTAATACTTATTTTAGGATTATAGATTAGATTTTTCTTAAAACAATTTAAATAGAATTTTAGTTCAATAATTTTTCAAAATTTTTTTTCGATTTTAAATAACCGCAAAAAATTTTAATTTAAGTGATATACTTACGTATTAATATTAGGATTGTAGATTAGATTTTTTTTAAATTTAAATAGGATTTTTTTTTATTCAATAACATAGTATTATAATTAATCTAGTAGTATTTTTTTTTTGTTGTCAAACTTCTTAATAATTTAAATTTGTAGGGATTTTACCAATAGTAAAAAGTAGGTTAATTGTAGATAAACATAATTAAAAACCGTTAAAATGTCCTAGTATAGATTTAGGATTATTTAAATTAATTTTTCAAATTTTATAAATTAATGAATCAACTTAAAGACCCTAAATCGGATCTTTCAATAACAATAAATACTGCAACAGAAATTTATACTCTCAAAAAACCATTTCTTATTAAATATTGCGAAAATAAAAAATTAAAATCAACAGGTACAACTAGTGAATTAAGAGCTAGACTTAGTAGATACTTAAAAGGCACCATAACATCAGACGACATAGATAACAAATTAAGCAAAGAAGAATGCGATTTAATTTTAATCAAAGCAAAAACTAACAAAATCGATTTTAAAAAAATAGAAAAAGAAGCAGGAATACTCGATTCGAGCGATTCAAGCACTGACACAAATACAATTAATAAATTAACTTCAGACAGCTTTTCAGAAATATCAAAAGATAATTTAAAATTATACGATAATCTTAATGCCAGTACAAGCTTATTTGTGAATAACACCAAAAATATTCTAGAAAATTCAGATATAACTTACCAAAATTGTCAAAAAGAAAGTTCTGATACTTATGAAAATATATTAAAAAATCTTAAGATTAATGATACTTCTAATAATATTTATGAGGAATTAAAATTAAATACTCAACCAGAAAATAGTGAGATTATTGAAAATAAATTAATAAATCTTAATAATTCAACAACTATTGATTCTAATAACACAAGGGAACAACCAAAATTCAAAAACGAAAATACAGCAATAAATAATCAAAAAGGAGATAACGTAAACTCTGAAATTCATTCTACTCCATTAAACAAACAACACAGAAATGACAGAAAAATTCTAATGATTAGACCAGACCAGTTCTCAGGTAATGAGGACGTAAGAAAATATTTCAAGCAATACGAAAAAGCAGCAGATGTAAACGGTTGGAAGGACGAAGATAAAGTAAGATTTTTATCGATATTCGTAAAAGGTACAGCAAGTATATTTTTGGAAAATTTGGAAGACAAACAAAATAATTGGACATGGAATAATTTGAAACAGGAGTTTCTCGACGAATTTCAACCAATGGGTTACAATACAATTTTAAAAACTAGATTAGAAAATAGACGTCAAGGAGATACAGAGTCTATAATGAGTTTTGTAACAGAAATAGAAAATATATGTAGACAACTAAATAAAAATATGCAGGAAGAAGAAATTTGCACTTATATTTTAAAGGGATTAAAAGAGACAGTCTTACATGCGATTTCATTACACGACAATAGCAACCTAAAGGAACTAAAGAAAAATTTAAAAAAATTTGAATTGATGCAATTTCGAATTAATAACAGAGGACCAGAATTAAGTGATTATACAGAAATGCTTAATGAACATGTATCTCAACTAAACCAAAAAACAAAAGAAAAAGGAAGAGAAATCGATGAACTAAAAAGACAGTTAATAGAAAGAGATAGAGAATACAAAAAGGAGATGAACCAGTTACGGGAAAATATTCAACAAATCAACATTACAGGAAGAAGAAATAAATCGGTAAACTTCGATGATGAAGAAATAGATAATCGATATAATAATAAAAATTATAATTATAATGAAGATAGGAGCAGAAGTTATAATAGAGAAACAAATTACCGAGGACGACAACGTGAATACAGAGACCAAAGTCCATATCCAGGAAGAACAGATCACGAAGGCAGCAACAATTATAGGGAAAAAAGTCCTTATTCCGATAGGTACAACAACTATAAGCTCAGAGAAAGCAGTAGAGATAGATACAATAACAATAAATATAGAAATAACAGTAGAGAAATGAGCAATAATAGAGATAGGTCTGACTCAAGAAATAGGGAAAACTTCTACGACAGATCCAGAGATAGAGATAGTTATAAGAACAGAAATCGTGAAAATGACATAAGTAGGAAACAGCACAGTAGGGAAAACAGCAGAGAAAGATATTCAAGATCCACGACGCCGGAAGGATTTAACAGAAGAGAAAAAATAACATGCTACAAATGCAATAATAAAGGACACTATGCTAGCGATTGCAATTTTTCAAAAAACGAATAGCACCCGAGCAAAGAGAAAAATCGGAATATCTTACTCGGGGAACAAATAATATTTATACAAAAGCCGACAACTCAAAATTTAACAAAGAAAAGCAGACTGAGAAAAATAATTATATACATTTTGTAGAAAATTGGTACAAATCAACAAATTCCAATAAATTAATAACTAATGAAATAAACGACGATGACGAAAAATCTATAGAAAACATCGTAACAATAAGTAGTTTGAACCCACTAAATGAATTCCAAAAATTCCTACTCAGCAATAACGATAGAACCGATTTCCTATGCGATTACAGTGAACAGACGGTAAATATTTTTTCATTACCAAATGATATCGCAATCGGCCATTGCACAAGTCAATGCCTTACCATGTCGAAGGGGATCGCGTTACAATTCAGAAATAAATTTAACAACGTACACAAATTAATAGACCAAGAAAAGAAAACCACCGAAATTGCTTATTTGAAAAACGGAAGTCAATGGATTTTATACCTCATAACAAAAAATAAATATTACGATAAACCAGCATACACTAACATTTTTAACACATTAACTAATACTAGGCAATTTTGTATAGAAAATAATATTACTACCTTAGCATTACCCAAAATTTGCACTGGACAAGACAAAAAGGATTGGAACGTTATTTCTACCATGATCAAGTTTATTTTTCAAAACACGCAAATAAAAATTTTAATATGCCTACTGCCGAGCAACGACAATGAAAATAAATATTATAAAAACAATGATTCCCAAACTACTAATATTACGATAGGTAAAAATTTTAATAACACGATCAGTGATAATTTAAAGAACGAAATCGCACTAATAGCTGGCTCATTCATAAAAACGAAAGACGTACCCGGAGACGGTGATTGTGGTGCCCACGCACTACGAATATGCCTGAAACAACATGGTATATATAGAAAGACGGTAGAATTATTAAATATGCTCGGCATTCCTAATTGCAAATCTGGCTACAATTTTAAAAATGACGATCTAGCATTTATCTGTGACCAATTTAATTTAAACTTATATTTAATACACGAAGACTCCGAACATAAAAATGTCACAATATACTGGAAATTAAATAGGAAAAGTGTAGGGATATTCGAAAAAGATTATAATTGGACACCAGGAATTATCACAAAAATATATAAACCACGTCAATTCAATAACATAATAATAAACACAGTTTTTCCCGACTTTAATACTGTAGAAAAAAATGTAGACCATTTCTTATACGAATGTTTCGATCGCTTAAAATTATCGCAACAAAACACAATAGAAAAAAATAAAACCGGCAACTATTTTAAAACTGACAAATCAACAATATGGTACTCACAATTTTGCCAAGACTGCGAATATTTGTCCACAACCAAGGACGTACTAGACGACCACGATGACAAAGAAGAGTATTGGAGTGAGGGGGGAAACGTTATGTTTTGTGAAATATGCGGAAACTACATAAGAGAATATCGGAATCGGCCCATACAAGAAGACGAGAAAGCCATAGAAACCAAAAACCAGCTAATTCAAAACAAAAACGAAATTAAAATCAAAAATCAAAATACAAGCGTAGATTCAGACACAGACCGGAAACAAAGAGTGCTATCCATACAAATAAAACTAGACGGCAACGAACAAAATCCAATAATAGACACAGGCTCAAATCTATCATGTATAGATTATTCCCTAGTAAAAAATAAACAAGAAATTAAACCCGAGAACAAACACCAACAACGAAGACATAAGAAAGTTACCGAAAACATTGATAAAAATCCAGGAGGGCTTCGAGAATCTTATAAATGTTATCAAGTCCATTGAATAATTTTTCTAAATATTACCTTAAACAAAATTAATGTAATTGTAAAAATTAAAATTTATCAAAACAATATAATAATAAACCCCCTTTTAGGAAAATATAAATATAACTAACTAATATGTAATTAAACACAGTAATAAATTAAGTAAATAAATTAAGTATATGTCATGTATAAGTTCAATTAACTCTTTACCTATATAGTATATATATATATGAATTAATATCACAATTACATTTAAGGGAAAATAATAAAATATTAAAAACATGTAAAAAAAAAGATATAAAAAAAAAACAAAAGAATAGAATGTATTTTCAGCATAATCAAAATTAACGAGTCAATAGACAACAAGCCGCAACAATCTTCTGAGACAAAGTGCGAATATAATATTTTCAAAGTAGACAATAAGCATTAAACCAATAATTATAAAAACAATAAGCAAATACCTTTTCATACGAAGACACGAAGAAGAAACTGCAGTCCAAACAGACATTTTAAAAATAGAAATAAAATAAGAATAAAAAAAAATATATACAAATCAAATTCAAAAAAAAACTAAAACAAGCAAGATAATAAATACTTACCTTATGAAATACAAAAAGAGAAGAAGAATTAACTACCACAGAATCGAAGAATAAAATCCCATAGAAGAACAACGAACATTTACTGCTATTTGTCGAAATGAAAATATTATACTTCAAACTGAGAAAAATCTCTAAGAAAACATTTTCCACAAAGAGCCAATCAATAAATTATTATAACCTTATATGTATTCACATACATTTTTGTATCTATATTCTGAGTAAAAATTCCATACATTATAATACAGTATGAAATATAACTCAATTTATATTTATATTATAAAAAAATTATTAATCATTAATATGTATTTATGAATTATATGTTTCTAATTGTTTCTAGATCCTCACATAATATTGCCACAGGTTGATTTTTTTTTGTACTTATATTCCGAGTTAATTTTATACAGTATAAAATAATTAAGGCGGTTGAAATATCGATTTGTCTGTTTTAAATTTAATTTGTTGTAATAATTTGTGTTAATTATTTTGTATAATTAATTCATGAATTGTGGCTATTGTCATTCTTTTTGGAATATTACTATATACGTTGGAATAATTGTATAAGATTACTTCGTTAGAATAGTCTACTATCTGGGTTTCTAGCATTAAATATTTTTCGCTGCCTAGGCAGTCTGTAGGATTTATTTTATACTGTGTTAGTATATCATTGCTTGTTTAAAACACGCATTTAAAAATAAATTAGTAAATTAAAATTAACATTTAAGCATAATTTTATAGTCAACGACGCGAATAAGCCGAGACAGAAATATAGTGTAAAAGTAGATTAGTATTTAATGTAGTAATAAGACAATTGTATGTAAAAAATTATTAAAAAATGAGGGCATTTTTTCCAAAAAACAAAGGGGACTGTCGTATATTGTAGACAGTCGTCTAAATATTATTTCATATATGTAATAGAGGTGGGAACTTTTTATTGTAAACCATTGACATAGGTCAGTGAAGCATATGTGCTGAGACAGCTATAAGATTACTATATAACACCGCCGCACGCGCAGGCACGGGGAGTCCCGTTGTCGCTGAGTGAATCGGCGAGGACGTAGGTACTGTGGTCGTACGTGTGAAACGTCGATCATAGTACGGGCTAGACGATTTGAATTTGCTAAGTGTTTCATTTATGTTTGTTTTAATATAATAAAAGTGTTTCCGACCTAAAAACCCGAGTTGAGTTTTATTTCAAAGTCTTCTTCGTTCTTACCTTTAATATTGGAACAGTGCTCAGACCCACACACCTATAGTCAATGAGGTTTATTACAAACTGAACAGTGCTCTGGTTGTGGCGTCCTAATAGTCATTCCAATTTAGGAAACGAACGAAGAACTGACAAAACGCTACCATCGTACCTCAAAGGTTAACAGTGCTAATCTGAATTTATTCTAGAGACAGTCATTAGCCTAGAGCGTACGAGGGTAAGGTATAAAGTTGGTTTACCAGCGTATTATCCAATACGGGTGATACC